CCCTGTGCTGCGCGCGCCTGCCACCTACGCGCCTGCGCATCGCATCGCGCGCGCTACATGCATACGTGCGGTGCAAGTCCGTTCCTACAGCACCCATGCATGCCTGGCACTGGTCGGTCGTCGCACGACCAGCCTTAAATATTCTCTGTTGGGGCCACGCGGCCCCCCGCAAACAAGGTTCGGGCCCGCGCGCGGTGCTCTGCAATCCACTTTTCAGACAGGGGCCCGCGGAGCAACATTCTAATCGGCCCCAGAAAGACGCTCTTAGAGACACTCACCTCAGGGCCCCAACGCGCAAGCCAGCCGCTCTGAAGCCCAGAATGTGTGGCCTGGCGCACGAGGGAGTGGAGGTAGTACAAATCAATCTGAGCCAACTCATGCACCTCTGTCCCGCATGTGACTGTAGCTGGACTCTGGGTGCTCCAACCGAGGCGAATTACAGTTGCAATGAAAGCGCCTGCTGGTCCTCTCACTAGGCCCCACGGCCTCGGATGCCCGTGGAGTCGCATGACCCACGTGCGCCAACTCGCCACCAGGAGGTCCCGCGTGGCCATGTCCGTCGCCTCCTGCCACGCCCTGGCCCACTCCACGACGGGCCCCGCGTTGGCTACCACGGCAGGGTCCGCGCCCTCCGCCAGCAGCACCAGCGCGGCCGACCTTCCCTTGTTGCATCCAGGGAAGGCCGCTGCCACAGTCTGCCTGAGCGTGGTGATCAGCGTGTCCGTGGCGCCCTGCACGCGCGCGCCGTAGAGCTCCGACGGCGCGATCCCGAGCCTGACCACCTTCTGTGCTGCACCTCCTGCGGCCTTGACCCGCTGGATCTTCCAGCTCCTGGCCTTGGCCTTGATGATTCTCTTGGACTGGGCTCCGACACGTCGTCGCCGCGCAGCTGATTGTGTCACGCCCAAGCGCACGGCTTCACGCACCACCTGAATGCCCATCTGCTTGTTCTGGCTGCCTAGCTGCCGCTCCACCTTGCCATGCGAGACTGCGACTACGGTCTTGCCGCCCCTGCCTCTCGAGACCTGCAGCTTGAGCACCTGCTCGAGAGCGAAGACGATCTCGTCAGTCAGCTTCATGTGGAGCGCTGCCACGGCGGTCACGTCGCCCCTGGTCGACGCCGCGAGGTCGTCGAAGTAGAGGCACATGTCGGCCCTCGGGTTCGCTATATAGAGGTCGTCGGTAGCGCCGATGAGCACGAGGGACAAACACAATGGGCCGAACACGGATCCTGCCACGATCCCTTGCGCCCAGAAACTGCCATCGGTGTAACACCCATTCAGCGCCACCCTCCCCATCAAAGAATATACTCTCAATATGACACGCAGCAAGGGCCTTGGGAATCCCCAGCGCAGGCCACCGCTCCAAATGAGAGAATGCAGCACGGTCTCGTAGCACTTCCTCAAGTCGTAATATGTGGTGGCGATGGCTTCGCCCTGCGCCAACGACCCTTCAGCTAGGAGGCCCTGCGTCCAGGCCGCTCGTTCAGCAGACCTGCCCTTCACAGCCCAACCAGATGCTCGTGGGTTTCGGCTTTGCCATTTCTGGATCTCGGGGCGCCTGATCTTCTCCCATACTCGTGCGAGCTCTGGTAGAAGCCCCGAATTCCTCATGCCGCCCTTGGGCTTGGGCTGAAGCCAAAAAATGATGCACTGCTGCGAGACGGGCCAGTCGGATCCGCGCTCGATGCAGTTCAGGATGCTCGCCAGGCCTGCTAGGCCAACAGCTGGCCCTTGGGCCCACGGCCCGGGGTGGACGTTGGACTCGCCCAGGCCTGTATTGGGGGAGAAAGCCTCGCAGGCGTGCAGCACGTGGTGGCCGAGGGTAGGCGGTAGCAAGGGCTCGTCTACCGCAGGCGGCTCAAACCACGGCGCAGCCCAATCCACCTGGTAACGCCATATGCTCTCCCACTCCTGCAACGCTGTGTTGGCGGCAGTCTGCGGGCCCATCATGGCGACGTGCTGGGGCGTCTCACCCGCAGTGGCAGTCTGTGGAGGCTCACCGAGACTGGGTGTTGCCTCCCTCGTATTCTGTGGTACCAAGGGCCCCCACGGGACCTTCGGCTTGGTCCACTTGTGCAGGGCCCCCGCGGACTTCTCGCTGTGGTTGCGATCCCATGCCCGCCAGGCCTTGGTGGCCTCCTTGCCCTCGCTCTGCCTCGCCTCTTCGGCCTCGCTCGCCGCGGCCTGCTGCCAGTACTTGAGGTACTCCAGGCTCTCAGTCAGCTCCTGCTGCTCTTTCATGCATTCCAGGATGGTCTCGAGGACGTGGGGCCACGGGGTCTTCAGCTCCTCTCCATGCTGGTGGAGTTGTGCGAGGGCCCACTGCTGGGTCATCGCCTCCTTGATGGACTTGATGTGGCTCACCTCCTGGCCGCCTGCCTCGCGCGAGTCGCTGCTGAGGCTGTGGACCAGGTCCCGCGGGATACTCGCCACCCATTCTGTTGCCATAGTTCGCGCCGTCGGGGCTCCCTTGTCCCTGACCGTCGGGGGCGCTAGCTCTCGCATCTTGTAGACAGCCTTTTCGCCATGCCCACTGTGGGCCAGCAGCTCGTCGCCGTCAAAGCAGTGATATATGTTCCAGTGCATCCCGTAGGCGTGCATGAGATCGCGCCAGAAGGCGTTCAGAGTCTCGTGGTCGACACGCCCCCTACGGAGAGGACGCGGCCACTGCACTGGTGGGGTAGGGCACCCTGTTGGCACAGTCAAAGGCCACGGTACCTTCTGTATGAGCTGGAGGGCCTGTGGCACAGGCGATCGGCGTCCTACCTTCATGTTGATGGGCCTATGGGGCTTGGCCGCAAAAGCCGCCATGACTTCCGCTCGAAGCCCATTCTCCAGCAAACTCTCCGAAACGATAAAGTAGTCCCTGACCGAGTAGTTGCCCGCACTTCCCCTGCACGTGCCTTCACTCTTGTCGTAGACCAGGTGCCCCTTCAGCTTGGCGATGATACCCGTGCTCATCAGCTCGTGAGGCCCCATGTTGAAGTCGCCGCTGAGCACCCACGGTTGGCCTGGCACGGCCATGACCGCCCCGAAGCGGCTGAGTATTGTGAGGTTGCGGTTCGCGGGCCCTTCTGCCACCCAGAGGTGCACAGAGCCCACCGCGATGCCGTGCTTGCGGCATGTCTTGACGTAGCCCACACAGACTCTCCCTGGTGACTCCTTGGGCGAGGCGTCCCACTTCATCAGCTCGGGCAGGTAGGTAATCCCCATGCGGCTTGGCACCGCGATCATCACCCCCGCCCTCATGCCTTGCTTAGTAGGCGCACTAGGCACCACTGCCGCCTTCCAGCCATATTTGATGAGCCTGGCCGACAGCAACTCTACCTGCTTTGGCGCCAACTGTAACTCCTGGCCTAGGACGACTGGGGCCTCGACCTGGTATCGCAGCTGGAGCAAAACCTTCTCGAACTGGTTCGCGGTGTTCGCATTGCATGTGATGAACACCTGCTCCTCTGCCCTGGTACTTGCACACTGCTCTGGTGAGTCACTAGGAACGCGACAGGCTCGACTTCCGCATTGCAAAGTGGAAACCATCAGCCATGTCAGCAAGAATCGTATGCAACATCGGCCCATGCTTCTGGATCTCCTCATCCTTGACACCGGCCTGCTTGAGGGCTGTCGTGATCTCCTGGGGGCTTGCTTTGGCCTTGAGCTTGAGGACGTCCTCGCTCTGCTCCTCGGGGCCGATGCAAGCGCGCCTCTTGTGGCGTGGTCCGTCGCCGCTGAGGCTGTCCCCGTCTTCATCCATCGGAACGGCCATCTTCTCCGCAGCGCTCGCCTTCTTCTTCGCCGCGAGTGCGAGGGCCGCTTCCAACTGCCTGATGACCTCCGCATCCTGCTCCTCGCCGTCGGCCCCCAGGGACGTCTTGGCGAGCTGCAGGTGCGCGCAGACCGAGTCCCAGCCCTTGGATGTGGGGGGCCTGGCGAGCGCCTTCTCCTTGGAACGGAGGGACTCGACCTTCTTCTTGGCCTGCTCGGCCTTGTTCTCCGCGGTCCGCAGCTGAGTCTGGATGCCCTCGAGCTGCTGTTTGAGCTTTGCCACATGGGCATCAGCCTTCGACTGTGATTTCTCTGCTCCACGGAGACGGCGGCGCACTGCCACTTCCGCGTAGCATGCTGGTAGCGTTGCTTCCTTTTTGTGCCAGCAGTCCGTCGATCTGTTCCTGCAACTTCGACGTGGCATCCGATGCGAACTCCATGCCTGGCTCCTGCGCGAGCTGTTCGAGATCCTTGAGGCGGGCCCTGTAGATCTCCAGCTTCTTCGCGATGCCCGACGTGGTCTCGTTGGAGGCGTCGCCATCGGCATCCTGGTGTGTGTCCTTCGGTCCGTCGCCCTGCCCGTCTCTCTTGGGCGCCTGCCGAGGCTTCTTGCACCAGTAACATACTTTCGTCCACACATCGCCAGACTTGGGGGGCATCTGGGTGCTCGGGGCGGCGGTGCCACTGCCAAGTTTGCCGCACCCTGCGACGCGAGAAATCTCCTGGCACCTGGAAATCCTCGAGTCGGGCAATGGCTCAGAGCAGTGGCGGAGGAGGAGGGGGAGGAGGAGGAGGAGGACGAAGAGGAGGAAGAGGAAGAGGATGAGGAAGAGGAAGAGGAGGAGAAGAAGGAGGAGGAGGAGGAGGAAGAGGAGGAGGAGGAGGAGGAGGAGGAAGAGGATGAGTGCGGGCGGGGGCAGGGCAGGGCAGGGCATGGCACGACTCCCTTGCCCCATCCTCGCGGGCGGCTCGGAAGGAGTGCAGCCTCAGTCTACGACCACCTCAGCCTGCCGCGGCCGTTGGGCACGAGCAGCTCGAGCCGAGCTGCTCCCTTGCCTCCTCCTCCCCCTCTCCCTGAACATGCCGTGGCGCGTGCGCCCATGTCCACGTCGCCTGCTCCAACCCCAATCGGGAGCCCAGCACGCGTCCGGTTGCTGCTCCTCCGGAGACCCAAGCTCGGCTTCTGCGGGGGCACCGAAGGCGTGGGCGGCGCGTCGCGCGCGTGCGAGCAAGCGCCTCTGGGCTGTCTTGCAGCTTCTCGAACATGTCGGCGGGCGACCCGAACTGCTCGCAGACCCAGCACCGGAAGCGGTCCAGCAAGGCGCCCTGCCAGGGGCGCGGAGGCCGCAATGGAACGCCCCTGGGGTCCGGGCGATGCAACTGCTTCACGCAGGCCGTGTTCGCGAGGTTTCGGGCCCTGGGACCATCACAAATCGATCCGGCTCCAAAAAATGCCGCCAAAATATGGGGTCCAGTTTCCGCAACGTTGGATCTCAGGTGCAGTCGGGGGCGAGCAAGAAGACGCCGACACTGGAACCGATCCTGGCCAGGCCGATCCTGGGCCAGGGATCGCGCTGGGCCAAGGATGGGAGAGTCCACGAGCCCTATCCGACCTCGACACGACTATGCCTACCCTCATCAGCGCTGCACTGCAATATTATTCCTGCTCATCTCCCCTGGGTTAACGCCGGAAGCTTGAAAATATGTCGATCGCGCCATGTGTAACCTTGGAGGGCTGGCGTCCCCGCCTGGCTCATGCGGGCGGCATGCGGGGGTCACAGCTCCGCACATGAAGACACACTACGGCCACGGCAAGGCGCACGACTCTGCCTACCCTCAGAGGCACCAGCGCTGCACTGCCATCATCATCCCCCTCTTCCCCACACCCCGCAGAGGAGAACCGAGGAGCACAGAGGTGAACGGTGTCTTATTCGGCGTGTCAACATGGAGCGAAAAGGGGGAGGAGGAGGAGGAGGAGGAGGAGGAGGAGGAGGAGGAGGAAGAGGAGGAGGAGGAGGAGGAGGACGAGGGAGGAGGAGGAGGAGGAGGAAGAGGAGGAGGAGAGGGGGAGGAGGGAGGGAGGAGGAGGGAGGAGGGAGGAGGAGGAGGAGAGGAGGAGGAGGAGGAGGAGAGGAGGAGGAGGAGGAGGGAGGAGGAGGAGGAGGAGGAGGAGGAGGAGGAGGGAGGAGGAGGAGGAGGAGGGAGGAGGAGGAGGAGGAGGAGGAGGAGAGGAGGAGGAGGGAGGAGGAGGAGGAGGAGGAGGAGGAGGAGGAGGAGGAGGAGGAGGAGGAGGAGGAGGAGGAGGAGGAGGAGGAGGGAAGGGGGAGGGGGGATCTGGCTCCGGACTTCTGCTTCGTGCGACTGTGTGGAAAACTGCTCCCATGGGGAATCCTATGGGGAGGCGGGGCCTCTGCGCTTCCTCCACCTGCTTGAACCGGCACCGAAAGACAGCCAAGATCTACTCCATTGGGTGGGGAGGGGGTGCGAGGGCCCGCGCCGATAGGCAGAGCAATGAGCAAGAAAACGATCATGAGCACAAAGGGAAGGGAGGCCTGCTTCGGGGCCACCTCCGCGAGGCTCAGCGAGTTCATCATCGCCTGCGAGGGCAGGAGGGGAGAGGGAGGGGGATGAGGATTGGGAGGAGGCGGACTAGGGCAAGGAGGAGGAGGAGGAGGAGGAGCACGACGACGACGAGGACAAGACTGAGCATGGCGAAGGCGAGGAGCCTCTCGAACGCCGCCGCCGCCGCCGCTGCGGGCAGGAGGGCTTCGGGCGGCGAGGGTGGGCCCATCGCCCGTGGAGCGCGAGGCGGGGGAGAGGAGGACCAGGAGGATGGCGAGGAGGAGCAGAGCCAAGGGGGCGAGGAGGAGGGAGAAGAAGGATGAGGAGGAGGGGAGGAGCAGGAGAATTGAGGCAGGGTGGGGAGGAGGAGGAGGAGGAGGAGGAGGAGGAGGAGGAGGAGGAGGAGGAGGAGGAGGAGAAGGAGGAGGAGGAGGAGGAGGAGGAGAAGGTCTCCCCCCATCCGTCGCCCCCTCCCTCCCCACCTCCCCCGCAACCCCATATCTCCCTTCCACTTCCCCATTTAGCTTACCTCCCTCCTCTTCGCCCTCCAAGGAGGAAGGGGACGAGGACGAGGACGAGGACGACGGTGGCGGAGCGCCTTCTCGCCACCGAAGAGCAGGTGCACGTCGCCGCCGAAGCCGATGCGCACCGCGGCCTCTCTTCGGCCGGGCCACGCGCGGCGCCAGAGGACGCGCATCCCTCCTGCCGCCGCTCTGCAGCCACCACTGCTAACAAATCGGCTGATGCCGCCGCTGCTGCGCCTCCATCATCGCCGTCGTCGCCATCGTCGCCGTCGCTGTCGGGCCGTCGCCGCCGCCGCAGCCACGGGCCGTCGCCGTCCAGCGTCGCCGTCGTGTCGTCGTCGCCGTCATCACCATCATGACCAGCATTGACTCGTTGTCATCGGCGTGGTAATCATTCTCCTCACCTCACCCTCCTGAGCCCCCTTGCTGCGCACAGACGGCCCCCAAGGGGTTGTCCCAGATGGCCTTAGGTAGTCTGGGGCGGTCTCGACACCGCTTCCCCCCAGCGCCAGGGGGTCGCCGCCAGAGGCGGCGTTGGATGCGAAGACCGCCCCTGACCACCCAGGGGGGGGGGGGGGGCCGTCGAGGCCGGCTGTGATTGCCCCTGGGGGCTGTCTGTACGCAGCCCTGAGCATCGCCCTTCCTCGCCAAGGTGGGCCCCTTCCTTAACGACGTGGGCCCTGCCTCCTGACACCTCGCGAAGCGTTCAGTCTTCAACGACCTCTGCCCTCGGAGGTCCCCAGAAAACATCTACCCAGTCGTTCGAATGCACTCCGTGCCGTGGGTTGACTCCTGTGGGCCCTGGAATGCTCTGCCTTGAGACGTCCGCGCCAGCGTCACCGCCGCGTCAAGGCGGCACGAGCCTGCCGTCTGCGGCAATAGGAGCCTCGCAGAAGTGTCGGAACTCGACCTTCAGGTCCCCGTCCGGGTCCATGTGGCACCGCCAGCCCCGCAGGAAGCTGCCACCGCCTTCGCGGGTGGCGCATCCAAGAGAGGGGGGGCACGCAGGGAAGAGGCCCAGCAGGACGGGGCGAAGATCGAGCCTGTCGCTTCGACCCTGGAAGCTGGAGGCTTATAAGCATGACCACATTAACAGTTCCGTGCGGCAAATCAAACGCTAACCATAAGTACGACCGTGGAGAAGGATGAAGAGGATGAGGGAAGAGAGCTATGATGACGGATGGTCATGGATGATGGATAATGATGAAGACCAAGAGGATGAGCATGGATGATGATGGAGATGGTGATGAGGATGAGGATGATGAAGAGGATGATGATGAAGGATCATGTCTACTGACGCTTGGGTGATGAAGAGGAGGAAGAGCAAGAGTGTAAGGAAGAACAATTCGCCGGCCCAACGGGCCAGAGGCGTGCTAAGATCTCCGGTAACTGGTTAACAATTCTCTAATTCGCGCGCGCGGGGCGGCCCCTGGGGGTCCCCGGACGAAAAATACCCCGGGCGATCCCCGAGCGATTCCCGGGAGACTCCCCCAGAGCGCTCCAGGAGCGCACCAACAGGGCTCCGAGACGTCCCCGAGAGCCCCAAGAAAGGCCAAGAGGCCCCCAAGAGGCCCCCAAGATGGTACACGAGGGGTCCGACATGCCACAAGATCGCTCCAAGACGCCCAAGATAGCCCCCAGACGCCCCAAGAGGCCTCCAAGAGCACTCCCAAGAGGGCCCCCGGAGGCAAAATTCATTGTTTTTCCTTAGGTTTTTGAGAGATTTTGGAGCTTCCACCTTTTCGGCTTCCCGACGCCCCAAGACGGCCCAAGAGGCCCCCAAGATCGCCCCAAGAGGGCCCAAGAGGCCCCCAAGAGGGCCCCAAGATGGCCCAAGAGGGCTCGAAGACGGCCCAAGAAGCCTCCAAGACGGTCCAAGAGGGCCCCAAGAACGCCCCCAAAGGGGCCCCAGAGAGGGAACACGAAACAACATTTCGAGCCCTCGGCCCTAAGAAGCCCCTACGAGGCCCCAAGAGGCCCCTAAGAGGCCCCAAGAGGCCCCCACGAGGCCCTCAGGAGGCCCCCAAGAGTCCCCCAAGCGGCCCCAGGAGGCCCCCCAAATGCCCCCCCGAGCGCCCCAGGAGTCCCCCAAGCGGCCCCAGGAACCCCCAAAGCGCCGCATTGACACCAGGCCCTCGGGCAAACGGCAGACATGAGACTGTATGGGCCGGCGGAATGAGCGAAGCGATTAAATAATACACAAAGGCGACGGAAGCGCCGCCGCATCTTACATAAGCTCGTCTGGCCCGCTCCTGGGCAAGAGGCGCAGGGAGGCTCTCGGAAGTCGAAGATGACGTGCTCGATGCTCCAGGTGAGGCTGAGGGTTCGCCATTGGGTCCACGTTGCCGCTGCTCGACGCCGATGGAACAGAGGAGGAGGTGCAGCAGGCAGCAGCAGGAGAAGGACGACGGGGAGGAGGAGGGCGAACTGCGATTGCAGCCCCTGTTTCGCAGCGTCAGCCACATGGACAGCTGGTCCTGCCTTGGAGCACTAAAAGGGTGTGGGCCCCAGGCAACCTGGCCCTCTTCCATGGCAGCTGAGCGAGGTGGCGGATGACAGTGGCGGCTAGAGGGAGGATCGGGGAGGTTCGAGGATCGATCGATGACCCAAGCTGTTGATATCACCTTGTTGGGTATCTGGGGCGCCGCGTAGAGCGAGAGGCGCGTTTGCTTTCGAGCTCTCGCGCCCCCTGGAGAAGAACAACTCGACGGCCCGACTTGCGAAGCGCAGAGTGCGGTTCTACTCGCGCCGCTGCTGATGACCTGATCTGCTCGGCTGCAGCTCCTTGACTAGCTCAGCTGCAGCTCCTTTATCCTGGACAAACCCACCCAGTGGGAGGAAACCTTGGCACTGCTGGGCGACCTGCCCCAGAAGGCGGGGACGGGTGCCGTCTCCCCTGGGCTTCGCAGCATGCTGGGAGACCGGTTGGGGCGGGGGTGGTTCTGACGATGATTAGTTACAGGCATCCTATGTGCCTTGGGACTGTCTCTGAAAGACATGCGCAGCGCTGGGACCAAGCAAGCTGGTTCAGAGCGCATGCGAAACTAACTCGAACGTGCAACATGTCATCGCCTACACATGTAATGCTCAACGGACTTGCAAGACTTCCACAGACATCCCTGCGTCAGGTCATAGTGTTGATGCATACGGCATCATGATGACATAATGCACGCCCAATATGGATCGAAGCCCCTGTTTAGCCCCACCTATAACTAGATGTGCGAGAAAAGTCTGGCGGCTTCCTTCCAAAACCAAGCGGTCCTTACTCCCACGAACTGAGCGTATCCCGCAGAGCAGCAGGGCACTGCCTCGCTGAGTAGAGCACTATCCACCTTAAACGAGAACGACGCTGTGAAACGAATCTGCCTATCAACTCGAAGCACGCGCGAGATTCGCGCGCGCTCGAAACAAAGCAGCAGGCTTTAGCGAGCCTCGCGCGCGTTGCCTTTTACCCTCCTCCTCCTCCTCCTCCTCCTCCTCCTCCTCCACCTCCTCCTCCGCCTCCTCCTCCTCCCCTCCTCCTCCTCCTCCTCCTGCCCCCTCCTCCCCCTCCTCCTCCTCCTCCTCCTCCTCCTCCTCCTCCTCCTCCTCCTCTCCTCCTCCTCCTCCTCCTCCTCCTCCCCCCCGGGTCTACACAGGTCTCTGGAGGTTCCCAGATGTTCCTGGACGTCGCAGCCAGGGGCCTCCAGCACCCTCCAGGAGGTCCTCAAGGAGGCCCTCAGAAGGGCCTCCGAGCCATTCCGGCTGAAGCCGTTCGGATTTCGCGCGGCAGAAGCGGCCTGCCGCTCGCGTGCAAAATGGCCACCTGCCGTCAGGCCCGGCGAGGAACCGCGCGGGCTGTACGCGCAGCGGCTGAGCTCGCATCTGAGCATCGTTTGACCGATCCCTATGCCTATGGGCGTGGCCTGGGCCCCACTAGCCGATTCACCCCTCCCCCTAGATGGGGATATGGGCTTCTTGCTTCGAGCTCCAAAAGGTATGTCCCCAACTGGGGTGCCGGGATGGCGGGGGTGTGCATGGGAATGGGGATGGGGACGGGGGTCGGCGCAACTAGAGGCCTCCTAGATGGGGTCCGAGTACATGGGATCGAGAGATCGCGCCGCATCGCCAATGCATCGCCGATGTATCGGCGATGCATCGGCGACTCCAGCGTGGAGAAAATCGGGCTCCACGTCGAGCCGCATCGCCGATGCATCCGCGATGCGCTGCGATCCTCCGACCCCACCTACGTACTCCGACCCTATCTGGGAGGCCTAGAGAAACGATGCCGAACCGATAAAGGTCGCCCGCCGCCGCCCGACGCTGTGCTCTCAATGCGCCTTCGCGCCTCGCCTTAGGTCGGGCATGTCCTCCTACGGGCGGATTTGGGACGAAAAATAGAACAGACCCCAACAGTACACAAAGCATGTTCAACAGTGGCCGCAAAAACCGTCCCGAATGGACTATGTTCGACTCTTTTTGCATATTCCTCCTAAGTGTGTGTGTCTTTGACCATTGTTGCGCATGCCTCCCGAAGAGGGACACGCCCGACGTGAGCCTCGCCCCGGGGGGCGGAATGGGCACCTCGGCGGCCCCGGGCCGAGGGGCGCGGAGCGCGAGCGCCTTCGCGCCCCCGCGGGCGGCCCCGGGGGGAGCCACGGCAGCGCCGCGCGGGCGGGGGCCGCCTCGCCCCGCCATCGCTCGGACGCCCCTGCCCCGCGCGAGCTTCGAGTTCGCGCGGTGTACGTTTGATAGGGAAACGGACTCTATATACACCGACGCTTTTCCCGACCCTGCGCTGAAATTCGCACGGGAACGCGGATTCTGGTGTATACGGGATCCTGGTGTATACATTTGTCGTGGTTCCCCTTAGACAGCGGAGGAAAAGTATACACCACACCACCCCGACGTCGTCCCTGACCCTTAAAAAATCATGGGATTGAGAAACAGCCCGCCACTGGCAGTGTATGTGTCCCAGTTCCCGATTTGATGTCGATGGTCCAGGATGCTCCTCGACTGGAGGCCATCGATGGGACGTCCCTTCCCCGTGCGTGTTGAGTTCGTGCGCGTTTTGTTTCGTTGTCGATGAGGAGGCTCCTCGACTGGAAGAGGAAAGAAACAGCATAGACATAACCTTTGGGAGGTCCGCGCGGATGGCTTGGATCTGGGCTGGAACCCCCTCCCTGGCGCGCGGAGCGCGCCAGCGCGCCAGGGGCGGCGCAGGAGGCGCCGCCGGGGTGGGCCCGGCGCGGATCCACGACAGCCGAGCGGAGCGCCAAGAGTTTAGGTCTGTGTCGTTCTGTTCTTCTTCGACCACTGCTCCTCGACGAGAATGCCGCACCCGTCCGAGCGGTGCCAGTCCACGAAAGCCGAGCGGAGCGCCAAGAGTTTAGGTCTGTGTCGTCTTGCTCTTCTCCGACCACTGCTCCTCGACGAGAATGCCGCACCCGTCCGAGCGGCGCCCGTCCGGGGGAGCCATGGCAGCGCCGTGTGGACGGAGGTCCCCCTCGTCGTGCCAGAGGCCTGCGCGCTGGCGATGCGCGGGCTGGCCGTGCCGCGGCCCAGACAATACGGTCGGACCCAGGACGGGAAGAGGGTCCCCAGAAGCCGCTTTTGGCTCAAGGCTTGTGGCTCAGGGGGTTCCCGCAAAAGCGCGGGCGTGCGCACAGCAGATGGGAGTTCAAAGACACATGCCCCGCAACCCAGCCTCGTGAAAAGGTCATTGCTCCATGTTGCCCTCTTCTGCCAAATCGTGAGAAAGCCGTAAACATAAACGTTTGGCGCTCCGCGCGGATTTCTTGGATCTGCGCTGGACCCCCCCCCCTTCCCCTTGCGCGCGGAGCGCGCCAGGGGCGGCGCAGGAGGCGCCGCCGGAGGGTCCCAGCGCGGATCCAAGAAATCCTCGCACATCGCCAAAAGTTAATGCTTGTGGCGCTTGTTCTTCTTCGAACCCCTCAAGAACATGAGATCCTCTGCTGGCCAGACCAAAAAAACATGCGAGGGTGCGTGCCCTCCTCCAGGGATGCTCAAGAACATCCAACAAACATAAAGAGCATGAGGGTACCCTCCCCGAACCGACCTCGATCTTATGCCTCGATCTGACTGTATTTGACTGGCGGGGTCGCGGACAGCAGGCGAAGGGTCGCCTGCGGCGCGGCCGGGAACTTTCTCGGCAGCGGACAGAACCGTGCAGCCCATCCTCGTTGGCGGACAGCTGCGCTCCTCGGGCTGCTGGAATCAGCGAAGCGCTCGACTGATGATTGACTGAACAATGATCTCGTGAGAATCCGCGAGGACCTTCAGGAGAAGCATGAGGCTTATGGGATCGGAGCCCTAGGCGGCAAATCCGGCAGTAATCCTCCTGAATCTCACTAACGTATAGCCCATGACGGAACAGTTGAATTTCGACGACAGCGTGCCCAACAATACGAAGGCGCGGCTTGACAAAACGCAGGAGGAACAGCATCAGAAGGTTGCTCGCCCAAGCAGGGATCACCTCGCAAATGCGGAGCCATTTGGAAACGTGCGTGGTCAGCTCGGATGCGCTGCAATCAGCTGAGCAGAAGATGGCCGAGCACGCAGGCAGGCCGGAAGTGGAACACCAGATCCACAACAGAGACGACAGGTTCAAGAATCGGCAAAAGTAGCTGCAGCGGCAGCTGCAGCAGCAACTGCAGCAGCAACTGCAGCAATACGTCGGGCCAAATACGCCGCGTGGCCCTGCAAGACGCGGGAGGCCCAGTATGTAGCAGTAGGCCACGATGATCGACTATGATCAGTTGCAGACCCAGCCGTTTCCGCAGATTGTGAGCAGCGCTGGCTGAAGCTGCACTCGTGAGCCCCATGGCCTCGAATAATCTCCATACTGTATCATTCGTCTCTTGCTTTTCGTGCAGGCCATCACGTGCAGAGCACTGCCAGGATAGACAAAGCCCAGCAGAAGCGAACAGACACGTCTCGGAGGTTGCACGGTAACGATCCGATATACGTGTGCCCCCAATACCTTGCGCGGGCAGCGGTCTGAGTGCTCCGAGCCCCCAGGTCCAGAGTTGCGGGTGCGATGCGAGATCCTTCGAATCGCCTTCATAGAATGTCAGAGCTGGCCAGAGTGCGCGCTTGAATGATCAGGCAGGGTCCCGCCTGAGCTCCCAACTGGGCTCCCAACTGGCCCCCCGCATGCAAACCTCCTCGCCCTCCACCTCGTTTCACCACCTCTCAGGCCTCCGACGTGGTGCTCTCTTCGCGGCGTGGGCCCCCCTCTGAAGCTCTCGGCCCCACCTCGTTTCGCCACGGTCTATGGCTTCCCCTGGTGGCCCCAGTCATCAAACGGGCCTCCCGAAGCCCAGACTTTGTTTAGGAAGCAACGCCGTCGTGTTTCCCCCACGACGCATGAAGGCATGGATCCTCCCGCCCATTTGCACTCAAAACCAATCCGCGTACCTCTCCAGGACCCTGGGAGCCCCCTAACCACAATCCATCCCTGATTCTCCTCCCCCTCCTCCTCCTCCTCCTCCTCCTCCTCCTCCTCCTCCTTCTCCCCTCCTCCTCCTCCTCCTCCTCCTCCTCCTCCTCCTCCTCCTCCTCCTCCTCCTACTCCCCCTTCCCTCCTGTTCCTGTTCCTCCTCCTCCTCCTCGTCCTCCTCCTGATCATTCCGCTCCTCTCCTCCCCTCCTCCTCCTCCTCCTCTCCTCCTCTTCCTCCTCAACCTCCTCCTCTCCTCCTCCTGTTCCTCCTCCTGCTCCTCCTCCTCCTCCTCCTCCTCGTCCTCCTCCTCCTCATCATCATTATCATCAGCATCATCATCATCATCCATCATCATCATCATCATCATCATCATCATCATCATCATCATCATCAGCATCATCATTTTCAGCATCAGCATCAGCATCATCAGTCATCAGCATCATCATCAGATCATCATATCATCATATCATCATCTCATCCTATCATCATATCATCATCACACCACCACCACCCACCACCACCATCATCATCATCAGCATCATCATCAGCAGCATCATCATAACCATCATCATCAATCATCATCATCATCCTCATCCTCCTCATCAGCATCATCATCATCATCATCATCATCATCATCATCATCATCATCATCATCAGCATCAGCATCATCATCATCATCATCATCATCATCATCATCATCATCATCATCATCATTACCATCTTCCTCCTCCTGCCCCCTCCTCTGACGCGCGCCACCGTGTGTCGTGAGGCGGTTGATCAGGTCGGCCTTCATCTTCGCCAGCTCGAGGTCGCCCTCGTGGATCATGGCCTCGCGAAGCCGCGAGGAAGGGGGGAGACGAGCCAGGAGCGAGGGGGTGGGGAGGGTGAGCAGCAGCAGCAGCAACAGGAGGCGAAAACGGACGAGGAGGAGGGGGGGGGGAAGGGCGAGGTGGGAATGGAAGGGGGAGGAGGGAGCTTGGAGGAGGACGACGAATGAGGCAAGGAAGCAGGAGGATGGAGGGAGAAGGTAGAGGGAGGGGGGAGGGGGGGGGAGCAGGTTCTGAGGGGTCCCCGACGGTTCAAGCATATGGTATTCTGAAAGATTCTACGGGGCCGTCGGGCAGTCTGCGCGCAGAGCGCTGGCTTCTACTTCTGGCCATTGCTGCTCCTGCTTGGTTCGAACTCCAGCCACGAATGACATGTTTTATGCGGTGCCGGCTCGCAGCCCTGTGCCGAAGAGCTCGTTGCCTTGCTGCCTTAGGGAGCCACATGCGAACCCTACCCCTACCCCCCACGATTTCTGAGGGGGAGGGTGGGGTTCACCTCGTCCGGGAACTCCCGAGCGAAGTGAACCCCACCCTCCCACTCAGAAACCGTAGGGGGTAGGGGTAGGGTTCGCATGTGGCCCCCTATGCCTGCCGCAAGCGCAGCCCTGGAAGGCCTGGGGCGAGAGTGAGCACCGCCCTGCCGCCCCGGGGCGGGCCAGCGCAGGCACGCCCCGGGGCGCCCCGGGGCCAGCGCGAGGCATCGCCCCCACCCGGGCGTCACCGGGCGCTGCAACTTTTTTCGATGGGTGGGCTGCCCCGATAATCGGGGATGACGAATTAAACAAATGGTAAAGAACGATTTAAAAAATAGTTTTCTGCTATATCTGCGTATTTTCTGATTGGAGGAGAACGATGAAAAAATAGTTTTCCAGCCTGCGTCCGGTTTTTTCTAATCGTCATCCCGGGCGCCGCCGCGTGAACACGACCCCCGGTCACTTATTAATCTTCATCCTCCATTACGCAACACGCAACACGCAGCGTGTGGACACTGGGCTCAAGCCGCAGACTGCAACCGCGACTCCGGCGCGACACCTTCGCCAAAAAATGTGCCAACACGTGGCGCGCCAACACGCAACGTGTTCACGGGCGTACCAGGGCAGCTAAGGCCCCCGGACTTCTCGACCCCTTCCCCAAGGCTGGCTGCCATCCCGAGTCGACTGTTCGACGGCCTCGATGCCCCGAACCCGCCTCCAAACGCCAGAAATTACCACAAACTGGTCGCTGCGATTCTTGGTCGAGGAGCCGGGCGACTCGGACGGATGTCCTCGCCGCTCCAATAAGGGGGGCGACCCTGACTCCAGATCCGCCGTACTTTGGTTGATCCTCCGATTGAAATTCCACCAGCCCTGTTCGCGTAAGTGGTCTCACGAACTCTTGCTTTCCTCTTCCAAAGCCCTCGTCCCTTCGGTGAGGGACACACTCCCCATCCCCTCCCTGAGGTTGTTTGGGGGGGTCGCGAGGTGGAAGAAGGCCTCCGATGCTTCAGGATGGCCTCCAAAGCGGCTCACGTAGATGGCTCAAGATAGCTTCTGACGTACCTCCAAAATGCCCGACGAGGGCCACAAGGCAGTTCCAAGTGCTCTCGGAGCCCCCTTATCAGGACTCCCCCCAAAGGCCAACATCCTTCCAAAACATATGGAAAATCTGTGACTCGTGCGCTTTTGAGTCCTCAATATGCGCTTCTGAAGCCTCAATCCTGTCGTTCCCGATTCGCCTTTGAGGCCTCAAGACTGCCCCAAGATGGTCCAAGAGGCTCCAAGACATGTCCAAGAGACTCCCCAAACGGCCCTAAGAGCGGTCAAGATTGGCTCGAGAACGCCTCACGAGCGACCCAAAAGGTGATTTCGATGGCCCCATGGGGGGGGGATGAAAATGGAGGACCTCCCTCCTTTGATCGATAGCATCCAAGATAGCCTCAAGAAGCCCTCCAGGGCTCACAAGAGGGCCCAAAGACATCAAAAGGGACCCAAGACGGCCCCAAGACCGCTCAAGCGCGCTCCAAGCGCGTCCCACGAAGGCCCCAAGAGGCGGTTTGCATCCTCCACCTCCTATTCCTCCTCCTCCTCCTCCTCCTCCTCCTCCTCCTCCTCCTCCTCCTCCCCATCATCATCATCATCATCATCATCATCATCATCATCATCATCATCATCATCATCATCATCATCATCATCATCATCATCATCATCATCATCATCATCATCATCATCATCATCATCATCATCATCATCATCATCATCATCATCATCATCATCATCATCATCATCATCATCATCATCATCATCATCATCATCATCATCATCACATCATCAGCATCATCTCCTCCTCCTGCTCCTCCTCCTCCTCCTCCTCTCCCCCCCCCCCCCCCCCCCCCCCCCCCCCACAGGGATGGCGCGAAGAGGCCCTCCAAGGCCACCCCTTTGCTCCCAAAGATCTCTCTCTTTTGATCCTGGTTGCCTACTTTGCTCACTATGGTTGTCTTTTGGTCATTTTTTTCCCCGCAGCTCTCATGGGCAAGGTTTCTGAATGGGCTGGTGAAAATACTTCATCCCCAGCTCCACGGTTTTTCACCCGTCTCTGTTCGCACGGTGAACCACCAACTCGATACAGTCACGTGTGAGGCGTGCGAAGCACAAAGATATAAGAATACAGATAGCTCCAGCACAGCATCGACTGTAAAGATGCTGGGCGCCAGAAGTGTGAGCACCAGTGAGATCGAAGAAAAAACCAGGGAGGGAGCAGGTGAAACCTGCAGGGTGGGAGAAGAAAAAAGACTACAGAGGAGAGCAAACCTTCTCGCTTCTGATGAATCCCATGCAAGCATACCTATCATCCCCAGCTCCACGGTTTTTGTGCCCGTCTCTGTTCGCACGGTGAACCACCAAGTCGATACAGTCACGTGTGAGGCGTGCGAAGCACAAAGATATAATAATACAGATAGCTCCAAAATGAGCAAGTACAACGCAGTGGCTCCGGGCGGTGAGGGTGGGGAAACAGATGAGAAGTACAGAAACCATTGTCACGAACTCACGTGCGAACGAAACCAAGCCGAAGGCGAAATAATCCCTGCTTCTTTGAAGCTCTTTCCGGAAGGCGGTGTCAACAAACAGGGTCGCTAGCTTCGTGGCCAGTTCTCTCGGGTAGGCTGCTGCACGTCGGGTCCACTTCACTCCCGAGGGGTCAGCGCCTGAAGGGATGATGTGAGGTTGCTTGCTGAATTGGCAGGGCGCAGGAGGTCGGGACTGACACGTACGAGCGATGGAGGCGATGTCGGGGATACCGAACGACATGACCGACGTTGCCTTCCTCCACCTTGCGCCGTACCCGCACATATGATAAGTATGGAGTGATACATCTGGGTTCGCGAGGAGCTTCTTAAACTCCGGGACCTCCCAGATCAAGCTGGACTGCGGATTCTCAACTACAAAGGGTACGCCAAACTGCATTGCTAAACGACATACTGGATAGGTCTGGTAGGTCAGTTTGTTAGCCTGGTCGAGCTTTACCTGATCAATGCAACTGCAGTTAGGCAAACCCATCACGTGTTCTCGTGACCGAATGGCGGGTCTTCTCGCAATACTGTAAGTCGTACACGGTGGTGCGAGGAGATGTCCAAAACACATCACGTTTTTCAATAATTGTAGGATTCGTAGCTGGACCGCTCTCCTGGATACATCACCCCCCTCTCCTTGAAGCACATCAAAACAGAAACACTTGCATCCTTGTCGGTGGATGGCTTTGGTAAACTCTCCCTGCCCACTGAACACCTCTATGCAGAAACGGCTCAGCTTCTGGCGGGATGTCTGGCGCCGGGGAGGCGCCCGACCTGGCGGCGCAGCTCGGCCTCCAGCGACTGCTCGCTGGCTAGGCAGAAGCGCTGGGTCCCGGCGCTGAGGCTGTTGAAAACCTCCTGCACCAGGGCACGCTTTTCGTGCCGTCTCACGCTGGCGGTGGACCGCCACCGCCCTCGCTTCTGCACCTCCGCGAGGCTCACTCGGTTCTCCAGGCGGTCCAGCGAGGCGCCGGTGTGGCGGCCCATGTACAGCGCTGGACTCCAGCGCTGCAGCTCCAGCTGGTGGCACACCTCCAGGAACTTTGCCCGCATGGTCAGCAGGTCGAAGTCCCACGGGCGACCCGACTTGGGCCGGAGCTCCGCGTAGGCGAGCAGCACCTTGGCGAGCCACTGCCTGTTCACCAACAGGCTCTCGTCCACGGCCCCCGTCTTGCTGGGCACTCCGTCCTCGGCGCGGTGCAGGATGATGGCCAGGCTCGTCATGTGCTCTTGGAAAGTCGGCTTCACGAACTGGTCCGTGCGGAGGGCGGTACACTCGCCCGGTCGAAGATACGCATCCACCATCAGCAGCCAGCACAGAGCGCAGCTCACCCCGTGCTCTCGCATCAGGCCGGTCGCGATCCGCGCCACCACGCGCCACGGGAGGGGTCGCCGTGTTCGGCTGGGCACAAGCCTTCGCCAACCACGGATCGCCCGCACAGCGCGCGGCAAGGCGCTCTCGCCCCTGCTGCCGTAGGCGGGCACGTAGTACTGCACCGCTGCCAGCAGCTCCTCGCCGGAGCCCGCAGCCTTCCCCCCAAAAAACACCTTGTCCATGTGCTGCACCATCTTGGCATCCAAGATCGGGGGTGCCTCGCTCAGGTCGCTCACGTTCTCCATGCGCATAAAGTTCTTGATGTAGGCGGAGTGCTGCGCACGAGTCTTTGGCATCGCCGAGGCCTGCTCGAGAATGCTCCTGTGCTGGGTAGTGTCTCTCAGGGCCCCGTACTTCCTCAGTCGATCGGCGGCCTTCGCCAATTCGAGGCTGTCTATCTCGTTCTGGCTCAGGTCGGCGGCCTGCTCTAGGCTCTAGTCGCCCGAGTATTGGGTGACCTCGACGGCAACTGGGGGCCTGCATCAGGCCACCCACGGTCACCATCAGGGCCTCTCGGGGGGGGGGGCTCCCCCTCGGACGCTCCTTTCTCGCACGAAGAGGCACAGGCGGCTCTCCAC